TTTATCTTAGAAAAGCTTGCTAGATGTGACATGCAATCCTGTACAACGTTAAGTCCCAAAGAATGTCTTGTTTCGTTTACCATTTTTAGCCCGCTTGGCCGACAGGCCCAAGGGGTATATGCTGTTAGTGGTCTGTTGTGCGTGCGTGCGTGCCTGCGTGCATGCGTGTCGTTTCAGCGCGATATAGCTTTCAGTTTTCCACGGATCCTTTTCATATTTTATATGCATGTATGTGGGCCCAATATCTAGCTCGAGTTTGATTTTGGGCATGCTGCCATTCTTGGTTTGGGCACCAGGTGGCTTTTTCTGCAAAACTTCTAACAGCTCAAGCTCCCTTACTCTATGAGCTAAGGTGCTCAAATTTTTACTGTAGGGTGTTCTGCCAAGGGTTCATCATATATGAAATGGGTTTTTGATTTGACCTTATTTTAAAGGTTATATAGGTCAAAGGTCATAAAATGTGCCGGTTTTGTTTCAGCGCCATAGCGCCCTCAGTTCTCAACGGATCCTTTTCCTATTTTATATGCATGTATATGGGCCCAAGATCTAACCTGAAGTTCGATTTTGGTCATGCTGCAATTCTTGGTTTGGCCACCAGGCGGCTTTTTCTGCAAAAATTCAAACAGCTCTAGCTCCCTTATTCTATGAGCTAAGATGCTCAAATTTTTATTGTAGGGTGCTCTGCCAAGGGTTCATCATATATGCAATGGGTTTTTGATTTGACCCAATTTTACAGGTTATATAGGTCAAAGGTCATAAAATGTGCTGGTTTAATTTCAGCGCCATAGCGCCTTCAGTTCTCAACAAATCTTTTTCCTATTTCATATGCATGTATGTGGGCCCAAGATCTAGCCCAGTTTTGATTTTGAGCATGCTGCCTTTCTTGGTTTAGCCACCAAATGGCTTTTTCTGCAAAACTTCAAACAGCTCTAGCTCCCTCATTCTACAAGCTAAGATGCTCAAATTTTTACTGTTGGGTGTTCTGCCAAGGGTTCATCATATATGCAATGGGTTTTTGATTTGACCCAATTTTACAGGTTATATAGGTCAAAGGTCATAAAATGTGCTGGTTTAGTTTCAGCGCCATAGCGCCCTCAGTTCTCAACGGATCCTTTTCCTATTTTATATGCATATATATGGGCCCAAGATCTAGCCCCAGTTTGATGTTGGTCATGCTGCCATTCTTGGTTTGGCCACCAGTCGGCTTTTTCTGCAAAACTTCAAACAGCTCTAGCTCCCTTATTCTACGAACTAAGATTCTCAAATTTTTACTGTAGGGTGTTCTGCCAAGGGTTCATCATATATATAACGGGTTTTTGATTTGACTAAAATTTCAAGGTTATGTAGGTCAAAGGTCGTAAAATGCACAGATTTTGTTTCACTGCAATAGTGCCTTCAGTTTTCAACGGATCCTTATCATATTTCGTATGAATGTATATGGGCCCAAGATCTAGCCCAAGTTCGATTTTGGGCTTGCTGCAATTCTCGGTTTGGCCACCAGGGGGCTTTATCTGCAAAACTTCAAACAGCTCTAGCTCCCTTATTCTAAGAGCTAAGATGCTCAAATTTTTACTGTAGGTTGTTCTGCCAAGGGTTCAATCATGGGTTTTTGATTTGAACTAATTTTAAAGGTTATGTAGGTCAAAGGTCATAAAATGCACAGATTTTCTTTCAGTGCAATAGTGCCTTCAGTTTTCAGTGGGTCCTTTTCATATTTTATATGCATGTATATAGGCCCAAGAACTAGCCCGAGTCCCATTTTGGGCATGTTGCGATTCTCGGTTTGGCCACCAGGGGGCTTTTTCTGCAAAACTTCAAACAGCTCCCAGCTCCCTTATTCTACGAGCTAAGATGCTCCAATTTTTTGCCCGCTTGGCCAAAAAGCCCAAGGGGGTTATGCTTTGCTCGGGGTCTTCAGTGGTTCTATGTCGTGCGTCTGTGCGTGCGTGCATGAACTTTTGGCTTGTCTGCGCTCTAGCGTCTTCAGTTTTTCACCGATCCTTTTCATATTTCACATGTGTATATAGCATCTTAACGACTAGACCAAGTTCGATTTTCAGCCCAATCAGACCGATACTTTGGCCAATAGGGGGCGTTCCATTTTGGCCACGTTTGGCCAAGCGGGCACAGTGACTTTGCCACTATTTTTTTCAGTCCTAGCCATCACTGAATAGCAGACAATAAGTCAGGGTGACAGTCGTAGGAAGCAAATGGGTTTGGTGAAGATAATGTTGCTTCAGCTAAGCTTAGCATAATAAAGTAGTCGTTCACATGAGAAGAGAGGTGAGCGGTTGGTAGCTGAAACTATTTGGTATTTGTGATAGTGATCATTTTATGCCACTTCAGCAGTTATATATTTCCAGAAGTAACCTTGCAAAATTAGATTCAAATCAGATTATTGGGCGATATGATGAGGTTCACTTCGTTTGTGCTGGTTAAAATTAGCCTTGATGATTTAACCAGTGACTGCCTAACGTTAGCCTAGCATCTGGGCATCTATCAGACTATGGACCGAGTGTGCTTTCTAAACATCAGCATATTCACGATCATACGCAAAACAGGCGTAGTATTGGTATTAACCTGTGGTTAGCTATGTGGAGAAATGCAATCCATGTATGGCGTCAGGTCGCTATTTTTTCAGCATGTTTTTTTTCTCCCTTTAGCTTGTAAATAGTCAAATTTTGTTTTACTGCATTTTCATGTGTAAGACCTGTCTATTATAAAACAGCGTTGCATATCAATGATGCTGGCTTTAAAAAAGTTATGGTGTGTGACATGGATCTCATTGATTACGTCAGATGCAGTCGTGAAATCTTGTGTATAAATTAGGCTAATGCAAAGGGTTACTAATTTGAAGTGGGCTATATTCTTGAGACGACCGCCTTGGCTAGTTGATTATAGCTGCCGAAGGTGTCATGTTAAGGAAGATCTATAATAGCCATTTAACATTCACTTATTATTCACAATATATCCATCACAACGACAGCCAATGAATTTTCTTGCCAAAAAACTTGATAAATGTTTGCTGCGCTGGAAAGATTAGCCTATTTTTTAATCTCAGAAGAGCCACATAAAGGCGGTTACAAGAAAAATTTTGGATATTTAACTTGCAGTTCCTTTTATTCTATGTCGATGCTCTCTTCAATTATACTGTTGTTTTCTTCTCTGTAAAGCACATTGAAATGTCTTGATGTAAGAAATACAAATAAAACTGCCTTGCCTTGCCTTTTATTCAACAGTTTTTTTTTTTAAATACATTTTCTACTCAGATAGACCTACTTATTTGCCACGAAGCCTTGTGATTTTAATATAAGTAGTTTTGACAGTTATTTTAATCTCCTACCAGGCCTAGGCTTATCCCTTGATTGCAAGTTTATTTATTTTTTTTTTGTTGTTGTCCAAGAGCCCTGGCAGAGCAACAAAAGATCCTGCGGCTGGTGAGCCCCAGGTTCCCAACCTCTGCACTACACTAACCTTCTCAGAAGGTTCTAATTAGCTACATTGTGGATGGAAAATCATCTAGCGGGTCAGAAAAATGCGCTTCAACTAGGGGCATTGTAACATCATTTTAATTTGCTAGAATCGTTCTGTTTATGGAAAACCGTTTTGATGCTTCTTATGTCGCTAAAAAATAATTCGACATTAGAGTTAATTCGCTTTGAAAATCTGATGGAAAAAGGGCTTATGTTGAATAACGGTAGTCTATCCGCATTCAAGAACATATGAAAAGAGCTAGACATTCTGAACATCTCCGTTTCATAGAAATTCCTCTTTTAAAAATGACCGCCAGAAAATGGGCCAATCTGAACAATAGATACATATGATATCACATGTATCTCACTGCCCCCCCACTTTCATTCCATTTCCTCCCCTTCAAAATAATTTGCATACACCCGCTCTCCTGCCCCCTACGGAAAGTAAATTGCTGCAGTGTTTGCAAAGCTCAAGGCGAAATGGCGAGTGGGGTACCGAGGTGTGCTCTTCCAGGCTGTAGAAGCAGTGTGCAAATGTTTCATAACCTTCCAACCCAAAGAAATGCACGAGATGCGTGGCTGCTGTTCATTTTTAATTGGATTCCCACTACATTCAACCACAGACTGTTATTTTGCTCAGCCCATTTAACCTAGTTTTACTAACCTGGCACAATTTCAAGCCGGCTTCTCGCAGCGTTTGGTGCTATGTAGTGGAGCAGTTCCGACTTTGCGTCTACCTCAACAACCAGTACAAACTGTAAGTACCATGTTGTTGTTAGATTGTTTTTAAAACGTTAAAAATAGAAGGTATTTGTTTTGCTTGTCTAGCCAATGTTGTATGACGTGATTATCACTCAACAACAGCTTTGAAACAAGATCTGAAATAAATCTGTGAAGATTGTTGTTGCCAATGATCCTGCCAAGCTCACATTAAGATGATGGGAAGTCGGCATCTGCGCCTTTAATTTGTGAAGATATTGCGCCTGGTGCGTTAACACCAAAACATGAAAGTAGCAGAGATGCCAAGTCTTATGCATTGAGCGTGGGTCTAGCGCATTTTTTTAGGATTATTCGCCGTAATCCGCAATTATTCAATGAACGCTTATTAATGAGACTCGCACGCGGAATTAAAATCCTTGTGCCTTGAAGTTTCAGTTTCACTTGCGTAAAGGTGAATTTCACCGCAAGTAACATGGAAAGCAATTATGACTTACTTCGCTTTAGGCAGCAAAGCCAGCCAATCAGCGTCAAGTGCTTGCATTTCATAATGAGGTTGCCAGTTAAGCCTGAAAGGTCGCCAAATAGGTGCAAAACAACGCATTCTAAATCCCTCACCCTAACATAGCTTTTTGAGAGAGGTTTTTAGGAAGCTTCTGAGGCATTACAGACCCAACCAAAATTTTGTTGTCTATATGTCACATCACAGAACAAGGATAAATACCGCGTTCAATCATTCTATTTCTCCTTTAAATGTTTCACAAGTTAGAATGAATAAATGATTTATCACTCTTATAGCCTATAGGGGGCGCCCCGGTGGCACATCGGTCTAAGTGCGTGCACCATAAAGGCTGTGGCCTTTCCGCGGCGACCCGGTTCAATTCCGGCTCGGGTCATTTGCCACATGTCTTCCCCATTCTTCTCCCCAGCTTTCCTGTCTCTCTCTACTGTGTGACTTTCAAATAAAAGGAGAAAATCCCAAAAAATAATGTTTAAAAAAATAGCCTATGGACTGGAGTTGAGGTAGCCTAATGTCTTGCCAACACTTCATGCAATAAAACAACCTGACAAATCTCTTTTGTATATATGTGACCAGCCATGAAAAAAGGCTGACAGGGTCAAAATTTTCAAAATTCAGTTTTATATTATTTTTTATGGAGTGGACCTTCCTCTTCCAGAAATTCATCTGGACGCGTATTTACTGTATTTAAATTAACGTCATTCAAAATTGCATACCTGTAGGCTCACGCAAATAGCTTGAGCCGCATGCTATTTATAGCCTATTTAACTGCCAAGTGCCACTTTTTTTTTATCAACCCACAGAATACCAAAAGTGAAAGGCGATATTTCATTGGAACGCGGACCAGTTCAATCAACGCAAAGCATTTGCCTATTAATAAGTAAATTATTTTTCTGCTCTGAATTTAGCCCATGATTTCATCGCTTTTAAATCGCATATGGAGAGAAACCGTGTCTTCAGTTGCGAATTATGATAATCAGAAAATGCGTCAATAAAGGAAAATGATTGAGAACTAGCCAGGACTAATAAAGGGACGTGTCTGTACCCTCCCAATTCCCAGTTCTAGCTCCGCCACTGAATAATAGCCAATTTTCGGCAGTATTGAAATGGAAGTTTATCGAGACACTGAGGAGATTCTGCGTGACGTATATGGATCAGAAGCAGTTTTCCAAATGCGAAAGTAAACACAGTCCACGTGACGAGTGGGACATTTAAATCGCGTTTTTCTCAATAGCATGATTGCCGCTCGGAGGTACCTTTTACCACAGCGGGTCACATATGTGCTTCCTTTTTTTTTGGACTATCATTGTTTATTTCCCCTAAATCATTATCCAGTTCAAAACCTAACAGCTACTCCAGTGTGAACGCTCGTTAGCCAAACTAAAATTTTTAAGCTCATGTCAAATAACATTTGTGAACGCCCAAGCTAGCCAGCTTACTCATTTTCGTAAAGCTAATAAATATAAATGTTGGCGGGTGTTGCAAAATGGCTGATGAAATATAAATGCATCATGCAGACATAAGACAGATGCTTGTATATTCCAACATTTACTGTGAATACAACACTGAAAATACTTCCAAGTCCGCAGCCACTTAGGAGACAGAAAGTGTGACCAATTTCTTACAATGGCGGTGTATTGGAGATGATAAGTTTTCCTTCCTAAAATGTCTCTGGTTTGACCGATCACGCTCAAAATCAATAGCGTCCATCCCTGATGTAGTAGCAACTCACCCACAACATTTCAAAGATATGCGCCCATTACTTTTTGAGTTATCTTATATACAGACAGACTGACTGGCAAACTAACGCTGGCAAAAACAAAAAAAAAAAAAACCTCCTCCTTGGTAGTGGTAATTTTTGTGCGTCATATTCATGGCCTCCTTTATTTGAAAGTGAATTTTTAAGGAGGCCAAGGCGAGGAAATGATATTGGGTATAAAAATGATAATAGTTTAATGATAACATTTGTGTCATCATATTTGGAGCACTGTCCTTCTTAGAGTTGATTGGCTGAAAGCAAGAGCAAAGCAAAGTTCTTCATGGATTTAGCTACTAGTAAAACTTGAGCATGAATGCGCTTTGCAGAGAAGGGGCTCCATTTTATAACTGGCACAAAGCGGCATCAAGCGCGACACAAGTATCTTTGCTAGTGTCAGACTGACGCAGTCGTAATTTTCCCATCCAGTGCCGATGTTGTTTTGAGCTCTCATAGGTGTGTTGGTATTATATATGGTCAGATGCATTTCTATTTTGTGGTAGTGGAAAGCCATGGTGTAATCAATAAATAAAAACCTGGTCTACAGTCAATGGCCTGTGTTTTATTGTTATTTTAAGGGACAGTAAAGGATATTTTATTAGTAATATGTGCCTACATAGGTGGGTGCTCCACTCGCAAACATTATAGTTTATTAACATTTTTGGGCACTAAGGTGATCATACTCTTCCATACTTTTCCGTACTCTTGGCAAAATACCACTGACCTCACCTGCTACTCCATTATTGAAGAAAATGATTTTAAAGAGCCAAAGCTGTAATGAAAAAAAAAAAATTCTCAAAAAATAGACAAAACCTTTTACTTTGAGTCCATGCACCCTCTGTTTAAAGCAGTTCAAGTTGTTTGATAACATGAATTAATAAAAGAAAGTCCATACAATTTACCATTTTTGCCTTCAAATCTGCAGTTGTCATAGAAATTAAACCAAAACAAGATAACACATTGTTTTTTGCTTTTATTGATACATCTGTATTATCAGCCCCACTGCATCTTGTTTATCCTGTTATCAAACAAGTAGAACACAGCTTTAGATGGAGGGTGCTAAGATCACCTTGCAGATGAGCAGATATGTTTCCTCTGCTGAAAAGGGTTATTTCCCTCTCCTTGGCAAATCTGCCATGATTTATAATCAATCCACTGAATATGCAAGCACATCTAGCTTGTCAAGGGAATGGGAAATGACACACTGATTGGTTTATTTCATGTTAATCCCAAAACACAACTATCATTAAATGAGAGACTAAGCACATCCCCTTTCAACCACACATCTTACTTTGTGCACAGATCATTCACCATTCAACCAGCAAGAGTGGCTTTGGACACGCCCTTAATGTACTGTATTTGTACCAGGCATTCAAACCATGTGCTTGAATCACTTCAAGTTTAATTTTAAGAGCCTAGTAAAGTAGGCTTTCTGAAAAGCTGCCTAAGGAGAATGTTTGTTGCTGAAGTGCCTCATTGAAAACTCTCTCCAGCATTTTTGTACTATCCATCCCTGAATCTGACAGTTGCAGTGATGACAAATGAAACTGGCAAATGCAGCAATTTCTTTCAGTTATATATGTGCCTGATGACAATACTGCGCAAGTTGTCCTGCAGTGGAAAACCTACAAATCTTAAGGCAATTTACAGGATTTAGGATATGGTGGTTAAATTCATGTTTAATACTGAAAAACCTACAAATCTTAAGGCAATTTACAGGATTTAGGATATGGTGGTTAAATTCATGTTTAATACTGAACAAGTGAGCTTCTTCATCTATTGCCTGATGGCAGACAGAATGGTTTATTTTACTGAATAACGTATGAAGCATTGTCCATTCAGTTTTGTTATTATTTGGACACTTGAAAAGTCTAATTTCCCAGGGATTGTCTATGCATGACTTTTATTTAGGTCAGCATTAAAAATGGGACTTGTTCAAACTTTTTAATTTTAATGCATGTTTTAACTCAGTTACTAGGCCTTAATGTGTTTTTAAATTACGGTGACCAGATTTCCACACTCAAGTCTTTAAAAGATGATTCCACTTCATAAAGATAAATAAACATCTCTTTATAAATACGAATGTATTTATTAATAAGGAACAAAAGCAAATGTTTACCACTTTCTAGAGTTCAAACACATTATATGCAATGGACTCCCTCACGAGCATGTCATTTTCATCAGGGGTATATCTGCCTGTCGAACGTCTTGCAAAATCTGCCATCACATTAGCAATCCACTGGGGGGTAAACACAGGGAATGTGTTTTAAGGGAATGGATGATAATATTTTAGATATTGCTTGTCAAACCCCAAATATGTTGAAATTAATTAACCCACATTTCCCAGCGTTCAAGGACCTTGTATCACATTTTTCAAGCAAGATCCATGCAGTCAAGCTCAGAAAACATGCTTGATCACACATTTTTTGGACTAGAGTGCTGTGCTTATAGACTATGCTTGTAGAACAAGAGTGATCTGCAAGTCATGTCTCATGAAACTTGTAGTATTGTTTGTTGAACATTCTGTCTGCATTTACAAGTGATAATATTGTTTATGACTGTGTTCTTCTCAAGTTTATCTTTCATTTATTTCAACCAAATTATTGCATAATAACATACAGCACCAGTCAAAAGTTTGGACACACTTTTCTTATGTCACAGCATTCTGTTTTTATAGAAATTTAAACGGCTTCACTCCTCTGTATAATCTCAAGTGGAATCTTGTCAGAAGTAAACAGTTAGAAGTTAAGAGAGAATAATTTATATGTATGAATAGTGTCCAAAATTTTGCAATTCTTAAAGAAGCCATATTTTGAAAAGTAAACCAACAGACAAGCTCCTTCCATTTTCCAAAGGCCAAATTTTTTAGAGGGAGTTGGAAACGCAAGATTAATTTTCTACTGTTTATTGCCCTAATATAAAAGCTGCTCCACTGATTTTCTCAGATTTTTTCTGGCGTGTCCATATGACCAAATCATTCCTTGAATTTAGGCATTTTTGGGTGTTATTTATCATAAGCATTTTCAGATGCAAGTTACTCCTAAACTAGAGACAGGGGATTGGATTAGGTTTAAGGGGCCAATGTGCTCTAGCTGCTGAGGCTGAGACTGCAATATGAATATGCATACTTCAGTCAAGGGGACCAACTAAAAATCAAATAAAAATTTTGGTTCTGTAGAAATGGTCGTTTTCAAAAATCTATTACAGGGAAATCAAATGAGATATGCCAAATCTGATGGCAGATTCATAAATTTCAGGTAATTTTACATGTAAGCACCCATTTTCATTAAATTAGGAGCACTTGAAAGTGTGTTTGTATCCCTTCAAAAATGCCTGTAAGTCATTGCTACATTGCAAGTGACTAGACACCCCCTTCTTAAATTGGCAATTACTCCATGAAAAATTGGAATTGGATCTTAAGATTTTGGGATTTGACCATTTGAAATGATGGCAAACACCCATAATTTTTTTCCACATTTTTCTGAGACGGTGCGGTGCAGAGCCTGGTCCACTTGGCACAGAATAACCCTGCCACAAAGCGCTATACACAGCTGGCTGCTATGCACTGTGCATTGGTACGTATTCTTCCCATAAGTATCGTTAAAATACTCTACCACAGT